GAGTAAGGTATGATATTAAAATTTGAATTATAATCTACAGTTTGATACCAAACTTACTGACATAAATTCATGAAATAGTAGTTCAATAAAATTTTGAATGCGAGTCAACAAACGCGATGACATGGCCTTTCACCTGTGACCCATCTGGAAAGGGTTAACTTGACCCCAAATTGACCTTTATAGTTTCCACACTATAACTTCTAAAATATTCTTGCCACAAAAGTTGTAAATCACTTGATGAATGTCTTGCTTATGTTACCCTATCGAATTTTGTAATGCACAGGCCACTTGCAAGTTGCTCGCAAGCATACGTCATGAACATTTATATTATTATTATTTATTTTACCTAATCTAACCTAAAACGGTTTCTAATTTTTACATTTTAGTTACTTTGATAATAATAAATAAAGAATAAACTTGAAGAGCAAAAAATATAGTACTTAACTGGGTCATCTTTTTTTTTCTGCTGTTGACTGTTGATGAAACTTAACCTTTTCTATAATAATGGTACTGCTGCACTAAATAATTATTTATTTAATTAAACAATGAACCAAAGAACACAGAATAATAATGCCCAAAAACCAAACAATGTCCTATAACTATCACAATTTTTCTGGCTTTCTAACGATGCAACAAGAGCTGTTAAAAATTCAGTTAAGCTCATTGATGTGTTTCCTGAGGGAATAAAATTTGAACTGGAAGCAAAATAAGACAATTCTCTGTACAGACGATTGTAATATAATATGTCATTTGAAAGATTAAAACATTGGCCTTCTATTGGTTATAAATAATATAGTACTAAATATCAGAGAGAACTATTGGCAATTTGTGAAAAACAGGATGTGACAGGTGGTTCTGATTTTCTAGTTTGTGACTCCATAAACAAATAAGGTTGGAGACTATAAAAATTATGCTTTGCCTGAGCAATAACAACATTATAATGAGTAGCTTTACATTAAATTTCGTACTTCTCGATGGGGTAGTAAATAAATTAGAGAAGAGGGGATACCTGGAGCAAATGTCACAATTCTCATACTAAGAGAAATTGAGGATTTTTTTAAATACTGCCTTATAAAATTGAGAACTTGAAACTTATATGATATTAAGATTTGTATTATTAGCCACATTGTGATGCCAAGTTTATTTATATACTATGATAATAAAGTACTACAATTAAACTTTGAATATAACTCAGTAAAACCTTGTGACATGCACACAAAAGGAAGCCTGTAGTGAAAGGATTTATCCAGGTTCTAGATGATAATCTGACAAATAAGTACCTTTCTCTGCTGCTACAATGGATATTTTGATAACTTTTTCAAGGACTGAAGTATCTTGTTCAACCTGAGTAAAAAATGATTTTGAAGATTTAACAAATTTTAAAACACTACTTAATAAAAATACAGTAATAAAGTTTCTAACCTATTTCAAATCTGTAATTAATTTAATGTACTTACAAAGTGAGCTGTTCTCTAAGCAATTTTTGTTTTGTTTCAGATAAAATTTCTAAAATTAAAAACAAAACATATTTTGATTGCTAAACTTTCTTTCCGAATTTCTTATGCTTATTTTCTTAACACTTCTGGTAATGTTTTGATACATTTGCACTGGTCTTCCTCATGCTACTGAAAGAAAGGTAAAATGTTTTTACAGAAATCTTTTAAATAATAATTAAACCCCATCAGAGAAAGAAAAAAGCACCTCTATACATAACCTAAAACATTAAATAAGTTTTCAAACAATAAAAGAGAAAAATAAAATTACTTTTCTCTATAAGTTACATTAATACTTATATTCAGTTTACTAACACTATGATTGTGCTTTAATATCACTGACATAAAATGCAAACAATATCTTACCAAAGTCTCTTGTAATAATTCTCTGAAAGCTTGATCTACAGCACTCTTTATATCTATTTCACTGGAAAAAAGAAAAGAAAGACAACTACATTAGAGTTATGCAACCCTCAAATCATGCTCCTGAAGTGAACTTTATTAATCAGAAAACTATATTATCAAAAGAAGTTACCATAAGAATGCTCTGGGTAATGCTAGTAGTATCAGATATTAAATTTCAAAAACATGCATCTTTAATATGAAAAACTTTCAAATCAATCAACTATAATTAACTCTTCTTGGCTTTCTAGCTTTTAACATTGATAAAGTCAACAGGTCACACTTAAACTTTTGGTTATGTACAAAATAAATATCTTAAACCCATCAACACAATTTCCAGAGAAAATCTGGCAACTAAATTTAATGGTATGTTTATTCATTTACATTAGAATGAATTCAACTTTGAGAAAAATAGATCTACTTACATTTTCACATTATACAAATATCTAAGGTATGCCAAGCTGTTTTTTTTTTAAGTCTTACACTTGAAGTCTAACAGGTTTATTTTGGAACAAAATTTGGAGCAAATTCCAATTATTCAAAAGATCAATGTCTAACATCTAATATAAACAAGTTAAATTTTTTTCAAGAGCAAGTGCAAACTTCCAGTATCTTATTAAAATTTCATATAATTTTCAGTTTATCTTGAAAACCTGACCTAATCAAAATTATTTTCAAGTTTATTTTTATTATACAGTACTGCCTCATTATAACGGCATCAGTTATAACATTGTGGTGCCTTGCCTCCAAAAAATTTAGTATCATCTGCTGCTTAGCTCATTTCCAGGTGGCTGCAGAGACTAAAGTCATTACACTCTGTCACAAAATAAAGGGAAAAAAAGCAGGAAGTCCTGATGCAAGGCTCAGAGATATGAATATCAAGTTCAGATGGGAACTTGATATTGGGAATTAAAGTAAGAAAGAAACTTGGAAATATAGCTCAACTGTTGAAACAGCAAGAAAGTGTCACCAATATAGTAGTTGTAAAGGACAGATTTAAAGTCACATGAGCAGTTTCTAGCCACTTGCATTCATGATAGCAAAGAAAACTATTGGCTATTGTGAACCCAGCAAGTATTCCATCTATTTGGTCATAAGTCATTAAAGAGAAATTGGTTTAACACTGGGGAGAGGGAAAGAATTTCCAAGAATTGTATATGGGTGAAACCAAGATACTGCTCAGTGTCAAAAGGAAATAAGAGATGTCATATCATTAATTGCAGCAGGTTTAGAATAGTATTAAGCCTGCTCACTTTTGGCACAATTTTAATTATCCAATGAAAATGCGAATTATTTTTAAGATGACTTTGAAGATGTTTTATACTGAATGGAGTGACAACCAACAACTAGTCCAAGAATTGTGATGCATAAACAAAATACTCTGCAATACATTCAGAAAGAGGCACAAAACCAAATGAAGCAAACTAAAGTATCAGACTTTTTTAAGTAAATAAATGTACATGAGAGTGCTTTGATTCTGAAATATTGGAAAGTTTGTATTCATATTGTATTCTATCTATGTTCTTATTATATCTATTTTCCCTATGTAAATAAACAGTTATTTTATTTAATTGATTGCTTTAGTAGTCTGTTGAATCTGTACTTGTTCAGCACAAGTGCCTTCTTGACTAGTTAGTTATTACACTACCCCACCTATATCACTCTCACGTGCACATGGCTCCCAATGGTAGCATTTTAAGGAGGCAATACTGTAGATTGAACATTTTTAATGATATGAAACAAAGTCTAGTTTAGAGTATGTTGGTTTTAGAAGTTATTGTTAAAACTACTTCAATTCAGTCCTAAAAATTGTTTTTCCAGTTTGAGTTAATGTGCATCTTCATGGTGGATGTTTTTCTGAATTAATCATATAGTGGTCATGCTAGTTTTTATGTACATGCATTCCCAAATGCACCTTTTCAGAGTTGTATTCAAATACTTAACCATTTTTTAAACAAAATGAATTAAATCTTGTCATTTTACCGAGATAAACACTCCTCATTATGCAAATATGACTAGATGTAATTCCCCAACCTTTCTGCTTGAATTTGTTAGCTGTGAAAATGATTGTCTTGAAGCATATACCGGTTATGATAATGCTTTACCACATGCCCTATAATAAATTACACCACTGATTCACTTATAAATTTGTAAGATTTAGCCTATAAGAAGTCAGTATGTTTAATTTTTTCTAATTTTGTTGCATTTTAGAGTCCAAAGGGTGCCAAACATATTTTTCACTCATCTTAAAAATTGCTCACCTTGTTTTGAGCTGTTTACACACAAGCTTGAAGCAACTGTGCATTAGTCATAAATATTTACCAGTGCTATAAATAGATGTAGATCCAGAATAGATCTTATTTAATGCTGATGATAACTTACAAAATACACCCAAAAAAGGCCTAATGAAAACTTGAAATAGACTTGTATTGAGTTTGATTTGTAACTTGTACAAGTAGTTTTATAAAAATTACTATTATGGTTCTTTAACTGATTTTAAAAAACATTATTTTAGTTCATAATTTAATATAAAATTCTATCATATAAGTTGTAGGTTTTCATGAAAATTATTTTTCATTTCTTAATCCTTAGGTTTATTTCTAAATTTAAATTGAGATTTGAATAAAAAGTAAATAGTGAGCAACAAGGTTTGGATTGTATCAGCTGTAGAACTTGCCTCATGACTGATGTAAAACAAAATTACAAAACATGTATCATTGTATTATTTTTAATTTTTATTTTCAGTCATACTTAATAAAAAACATAAAAAGCAACAGTTAAACAGTAACATTTAACACAAAGTAAAATATCCTAAATATAATTATACACTTTAGCCTGATGACCACCAGATACTAACTTTCTACATAGCCAATGCAAGTCTTGCTATATTTCATTCTAACAATAAAACTAGTGGATGAAATTGTTTGAAACTTCACAAGAACTTTCATAAATGTACGTAGTTTAAGAAAAAAAAAGCCTGTTACTTTGATAAATTTAGTGTTTTTTTCATTATGATCTTTAATATCTTAGAAATTTACATTAGGAAATGGTATTTATAAGATATGATTACAATATTTATATTTGTTCCAGATTTGAACTTATTACTTTTTATGTTTTAGTACATTATTTTAAAATCTTTAAAAACTATTTATCATCCATAAAATGCAAATTTTGTTTATTTATAATTTGTTTAATAATCACGTACTCTCCTTATGGTTTCAAATAATATAAAAGACCTGAAAATAATATTTCTAAGTAAACATAAACAATAAACGAGTACTTTTTTTATTTTTAACTAGGATTTCATGTTTATATATCTACATAAAAAACGTTAATTTTGTTTCATAAATGTATTTTTATTTCAAGTTTATGTTTCGTTGCAGCTGTACTTTTGTTTATTGTGCCGAAAAAACTGTAATGTTAGCAGTTTGAACTTCTACATTTGCCATAAACTATCATGCCTGTTGGTGGTCACTCTTGTTCAGTACAGTATAGGTGCACTTGAACATTACTGTACATATGATAGTAAGAAAGCTTTTTGGCACTTGAATATCATTTCTTTGAACTTTCAAACAAGTTTATTTCAACATATGTCCTTGTATGTTGTTTCACTATACAGACAAAACCTTTTGCCACAACTAGTGAATGTATGTATGTAATAGTTTACAGTACAGGTGGTTTGAATAACACTGCCTGACCCTAGTTACATGATACATCCTGTTACAAAATATTACCAAACAATACAGACACAATAAATTACAAAGAAAAATACTTTACAGCACTTAAAAGATTAGTCCTGGTCACATTCCTCTCATTATAAACAAGATTTATGTTGGAATTGAAAACTTAAGCTCTTTAGTGTATTGACACCCCAACTGTGAGAATGTCATAGCTTCCCCTGTATTATTCATTTATTGAGACGAATGTGTTTAGTCTGTTTCACAACCAACATATGGGTTTTATTGTTGTCACCTGTATGTACACCGAGTTTTAAACCATTTGCAAAATATCAGAATAAAGTTTTTATATATATCAGTTAGACTTTTTTAATTATAAAGCAACAACAACAGAAGTGTGGATCTTACTACAAAGTAGAGATAGTAAGAAGGAAAAATATAAAATTCTTACATGGTACTGGTACTAGTAGTATTACGTACAAATCACACAAGTTTATCATTCTAAATACTGAATCATATTATTATTATTATTATGAACTAAATATAAAATTACGCTAAATTATTGAACTTAAAACTACAAATTTTAAATGCAAAAGAATATAAAAAAATCACAAACTCTTTCAGTTCAAAGTGCTAAGCCTAATTCACGTAAAGACCATGCACTCGCCACTCGATAGATCATAATCCTAACATTCGTGGATCAACTTCTTTCCTAAAAATATATCTATTTCTACTTAATTTTCAATATAATGATTAATATAAATAGATATACAATATAGCATGACGTAAGCTACTATAGAAAAATAATAAAAGTCAAGTACATCCCATGCAGTTTTTTCCAGAAGCAAGTTTTCTAGTGCTTAGAGAAAAGTACTATTGGCCAATACTAAATACAACCTCTACATAAAATGGCAGTTACTATAATAAGCACCACCCACATTCATATTGTAAAATCCAGAGAACAACATTTCGTCACATGCTTTCCTTATCATCCTATGATTTGTCAAATGGGAGATACAGCAATTGGAATAATTGGTACTGAAATTGACACCTTCGACTAGGATTGGCTAAAAGTTTTACAGCTGAGGTTGAACATGCCCAGATGCAGTTTTATG